ATTGCTGTTGGTGATTTTTTCCAACTTAAGCCTGTGATGGACCGTTGGATCTTTCAGGATTTAAATCATGATGCCCAAGTTCTTGCAAGCAATCTTTGGAAGGAGCATTTTTCTATTTTTGAGTTGGACGAAATCATGCGCCAAAAAGATGATATTGAGTTCGCTCAACTTCTTAATCGCCTTCGTTACAACGCAATGACAGCAGAAGATATGAATGTGATACACAGATGCATGATAACAGAAACAAGTGACAATTATCCACATCATGCTCCTCATCTCTTTACACAGAATTCTAAAGTAGATGCATACAACAATCAGTTGATTGAAAATCTTGGAGGAGAAAAGGTCACAGTGAATTCAGTTGATTCTGTTATTAAAGATTATTCAAAAGAAGTTAAGGAAAAACTGCTAAGATCTCTTCTTAAAGCAGATGATGTAAGCAAAACTGCCAATTTGATGCAAAATTTGATTCTTGCTGTTGGGATGATATATGATATCTCAGTCAATGTTGATGTATCTGATGGTTTGACAAATGGTTCATCATGTAAAGTACAATTAATTGAAAGGAGAATGGAAGGTATATCAAGGCCAAGCATAGTTTGGGTTGAATTTTTTGACTCTGGAATTGGAAAAACTACTCGAAGGAAATACAGACATTTATTTCATGATGGAATTTCTGAGAACTGGACACCAATTTTTGAAGTTCAACGGTCTTTTCTTTTGAATTACAATACTTTTCAGAGAATCCAATTTCCATTACGGCCAGCTGCAGGAAAAACAATTCATAAGGCCCAAGGTTGCACAGTTGATGAAATTGTAATTGATATGTCTCAAACAAAAGTGAGGAAAATTCCCCACATCCACTATGTAGCACTTAGTCGGGTAAGGTCAGTAGATCATCTGCATATTCTAAACTTCAATGAGCAGGCATTATCTATGGATGAACAAGTCGTAGATGAAATGGAGAGAATGAAAAAAGAGGTGCCACTCCAACTTTGTTATGTCCCAATATACCAGGTTGATTTGCATCGTTTAAAGATTGCTTTTAACAATTGTAGATCTCTTCACAAACACTTTCCACAAATTCAAAATGAGCCAAACATTCTTGCTTCAGATGTAGTTGGATTCTCAGAGACAAGATTAACTAGTGCAGATGTGGAAAATTATCAACTTCAGGGATACACAGCAATATTTAACCATGAGACTTTAGGTAGTTCTGATAGACGTCCACATCATGGAACAGCACTGTATGTGAAAGACATTTACAAGACAACTTGCATCTCAAAGGTAAACAATGGTCCCATAGAGTTTATTAAGGCAAACATACTATTAAACCAATATAGAGATGTACAAGTCATAGTTATTTACAAATATCCATCTTGTTCTTTGGAAAATTTCAAACATCACGTGGAAATGCATATAAAGCCTTTGATTGATGATCAGAAAGACTTGGTATTCTTGGGAGATTTTAATTTTGATTTGTTTGCTGGGCATGGAGACTTTTTAACATTTATGGAAAAAGGCTTTAACTGTCAACAAATTGTAAGTAAGACTACTCACGACTCCGGTTCGAAGCTTGATTTGATTTTTACAAATATATCCCCATGTGAAACAGATGTGATTGAAGCATATTGGTCTGATCATAAAGTAGTGTTTTGTGCATTTGATATGACTAGTTTCCATTAAATATGATGGGGCTCCTAAATAAAAACGTGGCAGAGGGAGAAGCAAAATAGCGCCCCCTCCCTCACCCCATTTATTCCAGTCATACCCCACAAAGTTTGGGGTATACACTGGAATCACCATGTCCATCTGCTTGTTTGGGTGTACACTGGTATCATCATGTCTGCCTGTGAATCTCTTCATAGCCATTTTTGTCCAGCATTTATTTCTATGAGATATTGTTTGGACATTTTTAAATTGAGAAATTTCATATGCTTATATTTAATACAAAGTAATTTATAGCTTGTGATCAAAAATGTGCTTGTGTCTTGATCTGTACCAATTTCATTGTCATGACCATCGCATTTTGATGCTTTATTTGTCATAGTCATGATAATGTTTTTAATCAACACTAAGATTGTTAAGTTTATTATCATCTTCAACCAATTACATTTTTACATGACTTATTCAAGATGACATTTTCCTGTTCTTAAAGCTGTTTTAAATCTACTTTTTAAATTACATTGTATATAGTTTCCCCATTGGTGTATTAGTCCTATTTGGCTGCAATACAGTACCAAGCATTTGAAAATTTAAAGATTTTATTTTTCACAAAATGTTTTACATATGCATTTTAGATGGAACATTTCACTTATAATAATCTGGCTGTTCTTTAATTTGCATCAGTACTTATTGTATATTTTTATGCAAAGCACTACTCCATCTTAATAACACTTGGTAACATTAGTAGACTATGCTAAGATGCATAATTCTCAGTTTGACAAATTGCATATGTCTTGGCCACCAAATGCAGAAATTTTTTATTTTCCAAAATATTCACTCCCCCTTTACCTTAAGTTAAATTGGTATGAAATGACTTTTTACATTAATAGTCTATACCTTTCTTTATTGTATGTAGAGCTTCAGTATTGTCAGAGACTTCTGTTTTTGTTTTTGTTTTTTTTTAATGAAAAGATCATCTTTTTATTTTAAAACTTTGCTTAAATTCGACTTATTGTTTCAATTCTTAGCTTATTTCTGCATATTTCCAATGGTAATATTTGTATTGCTGAATATCTGGATTTTTTTTTTATTGGGAGGTATATTATTCTGATATTTTGTTGTCTTTTAGTGACTTCAAAAGATGTAACCCAAATTAGAACTTAAAAGTTAATGTTTCTCTATGTGGGATAAAATTTGACATATTGCTGTATTTTTACTTTAATTTCTGTCAGCAGTTTATTGCCTTGTTTTCATATAGAATAGGAAATGTGAATTGTTGATAAAACAATTTGATATCCACTTCTTGTTGCAAAATGTCCATTCCATTTGATGTAATAATATCATATTTGTATACTTTAATTAATATATTCAATCTTTTAAACAAGACTTTATATAATGAATTGTGTGGTATAGATTTTATACTGAAATTACAGTCAAGGATCATCACGATTATAATAGTAACATTGAAGGATACTCTTACTGGAATTAAAATTTGCACAGTTTTGACTCGTGGTAGTGACATCATTTGGACTGTGCCATTGGCTGTAATTTTGACACTGCTATAAGCTAGCTGTGGTTCGGACATTGCTATAAGCTAGCTGTGACACTATATAATAGCCATGTGATTTTGACATTTCTCCTGGACATATGGCTTCTGTGATTTTAGAAGTCAGGATCTCTTCATTTATGGACTTTTAACTTAAGCTCAGATGTTTTTGAATGTTTATTCATGTCATTATGCTAGTCAACTTGTTAAAAATTATTTATATCATAAAACTGAAATATAAACTATCTAAGACTGATATTATACTTTAATTTCATATTTTTTGTATAGTTATTTTTTGTTTTGGAAAAACATGCTTCTTTAAAATAACCTGTGTAAATGAATTACAATGCTTGTAGTAGTCATCAACACAGCAGATATAATAATTATTTGTGAAACCTCAGATTCAGTATATATTCTAATGAGTTTATTAAAAAGTTCTGTATATTCTATCATGGATTGTGTGAAATTTTATGATTATGAAGTAAAATGTGACTGCCATTATATGAACTTCAAAGCCTATAATAAGTGTCATTTACAGGTAAGTATGGAAAGAGGGGGTCAATGGCCAGCCCGTAAAGGGAGGTAAACCTACCTCTTTAAGAAATATATTGAAGAAAAATACACTGCACTATCAAAATATTATATAATATGATATATCATTTGAATTACAAATATTCTTTCCAATAGAGAAAAAAGTTCTCTTTTCATTATCCAACAATATTGCATGAATCTGAGGTTAGAAATTTTGATCTAGCTGTGATATTAAAATGTTTTTTTCCTTTCTAATTCACTCACATAATCTTTCCTTTTTTCGATTTTCATTGGAAAAGATTATTTATTTTGAGTGGTGATTATTTTCTTCATGTAAACAACATATTTATATTATGATTGTATTGTTAAAATTTTTGATGCTGTTTTATTTTTCATTAAACATTCATTCTCAAGTTTATAGAATGATGTTATCTAAATCAATACTAGTATAATTATATATGCTCTTGAATTGTCACTAGTAAGGCATTCATTAAGATAGCTTCTTCACAAAGTTTAAGTGTCAAATTTCAAATTATATACACTGTACTCAAAATGTATCAAAATTCAATTTTTAATCTGTACTAGTGTACATGCATGTGTAACATTTTACTTCTAATAATACAAAGGATTTGTTATAAAATTTTGAAATCAAATAAAATTTTAAATACAGCCTTAAAACTGCAATTTTTTTTATTGATGTAAGCATGAAAAATAAATATAATTATATACAATCATTTTATGAAACCTGTGACAGTCTTGAGAAATGAGAACATATTTAAACAATAGCATGTTAAAAGCCTCTGCACTTAAATGCAATTAAGTAAACAGATGGTTCATTTGGAATTGAAACATTCCCCTCTTATATGGATTTCATTTGCTAAAGAGGCCACAAATCTAATCTATAAGTTACCCTTGGTAAACATATTTCATGGGGGAAAAGTGCCTTTGTTTCATCCTCTGAAGAACAATTGGACCGAGGTGGTTCAGGTGAGCGTTGTGGCCCATGGGCCTCTTGTTTTTATTAGGCTGCGCCTTCGTTTCATTTATAAAAAATATAATGAGCACTTACATTTGCACTAAAAATGTTTTAGCATTTCTCTCTTCTCTTAGATCCATAAAATATTCATGATTTAGCACTTCTGAAAAACCCAGCGGGGGGGTATTTTATCCTGTTTGGACAGTTCTAGTTATTCAGAACATGAATACATGTGTATGTGAAAATTAAGAAAACAATGATTGAAATATAAATAAATTGTACCTTGTCTGGATTTGGAAGGACAGTGTTCAGTTACATAATGGCAGACATCTTGAGATGGCAATTTTCTCTCTCGGGTTGTTGTCATTTGATGCTTAAACCACTGATTTAGTTTGTAAATTTCAGAAGTCTTAAATTTGTTCTCCTTTTTCAGGGCAAGAATTTCCTTTTGCAGGTCACTAATTGTTTTCTGGTTTTCCACATTTTTGGCCTCCATTTCAAAATATTTTGTCCAAAGAGGAGAAACTTGTTTGCTGACTTCCTCTTCAATAGCAGCATTATAATCCATTTGGGACACAGAAATGTTAACACAACACAAAAAGAATAATATAAGAAAAATCATTGTTTATGTGATTATGATTGTTTTGCACTATAGAGAGCTGGTGAATTTTGACAGTGAACGATAGTGAATGAAAGGAATTGACCTGAATTGAATTGATAGTGAGAAAATGACCATTTGTACATGTATGTAGGCAGTGGGAATTTGCAGTACAGTGAATTGCAGTCATTCAATATATTGACCTTGCAGTTAGTGCTACCTTTTAGGGTTATCTAAACCCATTCATGACTTTATTGTCTGTATATATTGTGGGAGTTATAATCTGTGGGTCTTGAATTATATAGAAAGTAAAATTTACATGTAACTTCCCCACATGATTTTCATTATAATATTTGATTGACCGATTGGTTGTATGTTGTTTCATGTCCCATTTGAGAATTTCTCACTCATATGAAAATGTCACCATGTACAAATGAAGGGCAGTTTACTTTATTAAGAATGGCAATGGATGCCATAATGAGCAGTGAAGGTTCTTTATCTTGCTAATGCCTACCATATGAAAGTATATGTGTATTCGGTTTTTAAGGTCTGAACCAAAAGACCTACAACTTTCACTTTAAGGTGCCAAGCCCTTTGCGAAGGAACAGTTGGAACAGTACCTATAATTTATCTTCTTTAATAGATTTAAGTCACAGCTGAGATTCGAAGTCACGACCGTCTGATCACAGAGTGAACACTCTACAGACTGACACTGAGATTACCTTCAATGCTTACTAGTATGTTTTTTTTAGCGTACCTGAGCTGAATTAGCTCAAGTAACATTTTCTGATCACCTGTAGTCCCTCATCCATCCATTTGTCTGTAAACTTTTTACATTTTCATCCTCTTCTCAAGAACCACTGGGCCATTTCTAACCAAAGTTGATACACTTATTAAGCATCCTTAAGTGACAGGAAATGAAAATACATGTAATTAAAATCAAGGGCCAAGCCCCTTTCCAAGGGGAGATAATCAAGAAAAGACATAAATAGGGTGGGATTATGGTGAGATCATAAATTATTCTAAAGAACCACTGGGCCAGAAAAGCAGAATTACTTATGTGAAAGCATCTTTAAATAATGTAGATTTTATATTGTTCAAATCATGGTCCCTTTGGGAAGGAGGCCACAATAGGGAATCCAAGTTTTACATTGAAATGTGTGGATATAACAAACAGTATTTGAGCTCAAAAGTCCAATAATTAGTCCATTAAACATTTAAAAATAGGAGCAAAAACAGATCTCCAAAACATCAGAGGTAGGATCAGGTGTGATGGAGAAGTGAGAATTTCCTGCCGACCGGTCACAGCTACTGTGTGCTCCTTGTCATGTTTGGGGGGGAAAAAATGGAAAACTCTGTGGACAACTCAGTGTGTAAAAAATGGACTAACAATCAGTCAGTCAGCATTTGATTTAATGATAAATTGTATTTGCTGACAAGGAAATTGTATCAACCAATTAGAACGTAAAAATATTTTGGAAAAAATCTTTAGAATCCTCTCAAGAACCACTAGGCCAGAAAATCTGACACTTATATTGAGGCATCCAGGGATATGTGTAGATTCTAAATTCTGGAAATCATAGTCCCAAAGGGTTGTGGGGCCACAATGTTTATAACAAAGGGAAATCAAGTGAAGAACAGCAGGGCCAAAGTTACTCAGGTGAGTGATGTGGCCCATTGGCCTCTTGTTAGGTTATATTGAATATCAAGACATTAAGGCCTTTCATTTCTTTTGAATTTAGGTTATCTTTCAAGTGGCCTTGACAATCCTGGACAATAAGCAGGAGGAGCTACTGGAGGCCCGTGAGGAGGGGGAAGCGATGACCATACTGAGCTCCTACCTAGAGAACATCACAAATAAAGACTCCACAATGCCCCACATTGCTCACACTAGCTCCATGTGTGGAAGTCTCTCAGAGAAGAAAGAGGTAAAAAAAATAAACATACCATCAACACAGACAGGGCTAAAACTGTATACTCTAAACTTCAATTAAGTGGGCATAAAAATGTAAATTTATTCTTGTGTGGCCCAGAACTTCCCAGTAAAGAAGCAAAGGAAATTCAAACTTCATACAAAAATACTTTAGTTTTAAAGATGAACCATGACCTTGACGAAAGATCATTTGAGCAAACTGAAAATCCAAGGTCACTTTAAGATGTTTTTTGGTATTTGGAAAAAAATTGTATTGTGGGATGAATATCTTTGTGAGCTTTTTTATATGGTACATTTATAGTTTCTTTTATGTATTCATTATTATAGATATTAAAATTTAATATTTCAAGACACATAATCAATATGATTAATACTGACACATCTTTAAGAGGCCGAGTCTATTTCTACCTTAGAGATTTTGATAATTTTTCGTTAATTAATTGATACTGTTATATTTATTGTTTTAAGATTAAAAAATTAAATGTTTACAACCCAGATTTTTTAGGGGACCATCTCAAAAGTTGTGAAATTTTACTACATAATGTATTGGAACCATTTCTGAGATTTTTTCCTCAGTCAAGTAGATGAAAGTTATTGTTAAAATCAAGTCACTAAATTGTGAAATTTCAGAAAAGTTGACCATCTAGATTGGTCTTTATCTTAATCAATTATAAAGTTTATTTTTTCCATGCCTAATACCTCTAAAATTGCCATTTTACAGTATAAATACATATTAGTGCAGATGTATTATCGGTGCAGATAATTTTTCTAGTAAGAAATAGCAATAATAAGATTGGAAGTATGTTTCTTTTGATGTTCTGTCATCAGTTTTTAGTATAATATCCATGCATGGACATCTACAAACATATAAGCGAGTCATGTGTCATTATTTAGCATCGTGCATAATGCTTACAAAATCGGAAAACAGCCATTTCAGCGTTTTTTTTCATAATATGTTGTTGTAAAATCTCATTTTCAGGCCAGTAGGTGTTACAGATAATGTTAATTTTATATCAAAATCACAACATTTGGGAAAGGTGTACTGTCATATTTATGACTGCATGAAATTTAAAAGCTGCACAAAGTCATGCACACTCAAATTAGTTAAATGTATTTATTTTTTTCTTCCATTTTTCTAGCCCAGTGTTGATGTGGCTGTTTTGATAGATGATAGCTACAGAAAGTATGGACACATAAGTAACCAAGATATAGACAAACTTAGACTGAAGTACCGTCTTCGAGTAGTGCAGGTTAGTGTAAACAATATCATACAACCAAAACATATAACTAACCAAGACATAGACAACAAAGACTGAAGTTCTGTCTTCAAATAGTGCAGGCTAGTGAAGACAATATCACACATATAACTGATTTATCATGAAATGCCCAAAATATTTAGCAGTTCAAATTCTTTGAAGTGTAGAATAGAAATTAGATCATATAGATTGTATAAAGTAAGCACTGTTCAGAAAAGGGAAGACTTGCAAATCCAAGACTCTTGATTTTGTTTGTGTGATGTAAGAGTTTCAAATATTATACACCTTGTTAATTTTTTTTTAGCATATTGAGGACAGCACAAAGAAAAATGTACTGAGAAGTGTTCAAACCCACACGTTGTTCAAAGGCAAAGAGCTAGAGGATTTATTTGTTCTGTTCAAGGTAAATGTGATATGTTCACCATAATAAAGGGCAGGTAAGTATGGTATGTGGTTCACACCTCCTTTAGCTTATAAAAGTACTGTGTGTTCACATTGTCAGGTTGATAATTGTCAACAGGGGATGCTTGCTCCTTTTAGGCACCTGATCCCTGCACTTCCGTTAATGCCCTGTTCATGGATATTTGTTGTTTGTGGGTTGAGATTGATCACTGTATGTTATCTTGACCTAATTTAGTATGAGCATAAAAATGTCCCAAATGCAAATTTCAAGTCATTAAGACCAAAAAAAAAATATATGAATTATCAGCCTCTGGACGTTGACGCTGTAACCCTACCAACAACATTGTTAGAAGATATCTGGAGTCGGAAGGAAACAAATTTTTACCACAAGAATTTGAATGTAAATAAAAGTTAATCTTATTGTCAGTAAACTTTTCACATTTTCAACATCTTTTCAAGAACCACTGGGGCAATTTTAACCAAAGATAGTACAGTAAAACTCGGTTATAGCGAAGTCCTTGGGACCTGTGAATTTAATTCGCTATATCCGTAATTCGTTATATCCGTATAATGAATTCGTAGAACCATTATAGCGAATTCGCAATATGCATGTTTTCCTTCAAGTATTACTACCAAATATGTTTGGGAAGCAAATATTACCGTATTTGGCCGAGTATAATACGCATTGATGTAAAATACGCACCCCCCTTTTTGAGTCTGAAACTGAGGGAAAAAAGGCAGTTTGGATGTATTATACGCAAACGAAAAATTTACCAAGCGATGTTCTGAACTTTGAAAATCACGGTAATTTGTTACGAAAATCGGCTCGAGGATAAAGTGTCAAAAATTCACTGAACACATCTTTTTAGGTCACCTGAGTAAACTCAGGTGACCTATTGCTATCTGTTTTCGTCCGTCGTCGTTCGTCGTCCGTCGTTCGTCGTGCGTTAACATTTGAACATTTTCAGCTTCTTCTCTTCAACCACTGAACCAATTTCAACCAAATTTGGCACAAAGCATCTATGGGTGAAGGGGAACAAAAATTGTGAATTTTATGATCCCTGCCCCCCTGGGGCCTGAGGGGTGGGGCCAAAACCACTAAAATTAATGCAATATTTAAAAATCTTCTTCATTACTCCTGGACATCAAGCAGTCAAACTGTTTGCATGATTGTAATCAGCAATGAGTCCTCTACCAAAATTGTGAAATTCATGGCCCTGGGGTCAGGGGTTCTAGTGCTAGGGTGGGGCTAAATAAGTAGGTAGTGAAAATGCATTATTTCTTTGAAAATCTTCTTCTCTGCTCCTGGGTATTAAATAAACCAACTAAGTACATAGTTATGATGAGCAAGAGTGCCTCTACCAAAATTGTGAATTTTATGGCCCCAGGGTCAGGGGTTCTGGTGTTAGGGCGGGGCTCTATTGATTATATAGTGAAAATACATGAATTCTTTGAAAATCTTCTTCTCTGCTCCTGGGTATTAAATAAACTAACTAAGTACATAGTTATGATAAGCAAGAATGCCTCTACCAAAATTGTGAATTTTATGGCCCCAGGGTCAGGGGTTCTTGTTTTAGGTTGGGGCTCTAATGATTATACAGTGAAATGCATGAATTCTTTGAACATCTTATCCTTTGCTCCTGGTTAATATGCTAATGATCTAATTACATATTTAAGGCCAGGATTTATTTTATTTTCAGTTTTACAAACCCTCCGCTCAAGGTTTTGAATTCTAAGAAAAAAATAAAACAATTTTTTTCTTTCCGATGTCAAATTTGAGTCGGGATCAAGATTTCAAATTTACGAACTCGCACTTCCGGTTTTACGATGAAACGGCGGGTAAATAAAGCTAGATCTGAGAAGATAGCTTGGTTTAGTGTAAAATTCATCGATAAGAGTGCCATTCAAAATTTCACCCGTTCAAAGGACAAATAAAATGCTGACGACTTTGTTGCACAATGACATGCTGGTGAGATAATCATGTATTCGTTTCAAAAGTAACTGTAAATTATTTTCCTCCCCCAGGTTTTAAACTGCCCATGGTAGCTATTGCATATTGCCAGGGACATTGTTGTTTAGGTCTCTGTTATAGCTTACAGTCTAAGCATCATTCTTCAGAAAAGGGTTGCTTATGCATCAGATGTAATGAATAAAACTATGGGAGAAGTGAAGTCCATTTGAGGAAGAAATAAACAGTAACCTGAAGAAATAAAAAAAAAATTCAACTATTAAAAGGCAAGAATATACAAATATATACAGGCATGTAGTATCATTTGTATCAGCCAGAAAAATTATTTTACACTTAATTGAAATAATGTTGACCCTACTCCCCAATACTCCCTGTCTGTTTTATGATAGGAATTATAATTTTAGGCATCAAGTAAATTTTAGAACAATGTCTACACATTCACCTAACACATATTAAAAAAATGAAGATATATTGAAAGACTTTTAAAGAATTGATTTTTTAAAATATATTTTGATCAACATCACAAAATTTATATAACTGGCCCAAACTGGCAGATGATGAAATAAGCAATTAAATGTTCTACTTTCCTATTTGTAAGCATTATGTGTTCAGTGGTAAGGAGCCTATTAGGATAGCATAAAAAAAGAATGTACAAATGTTAATAATTGATTTATCAAAAAAGAAAATTTATTTCCTTTTCCTTCGGGACTTTTTTATTCTCATGTTCATAACTAAACCTAAACATAAAAAAAAATGCTGGCCTTATAATGAAGAAAGGGGCCTCTTTCAAAATACATAATTTCAGGGCTGCTGGGTCAGGGGTACCAAGGGGGTACTTTGACTAAAAATAAATTAATGCTTTGAAATCTGCCCTTTGATAAGCAGTGGTGCCTCTTTCAAAATTTGTGAATTTCATGGCTTTTGGCTTAAAACACGAACCAATACAATCGCTGGAAAGTTGTTACATGATACTCAGGTGACCTCTAAGGCCCATGGGCCTCTTGTTTAAAATAAACACTTTATAACTTTCTCTTGATCCTGACATTCCATATCGCAACAATCTTGAGAAAATTATTTATTCATTTATTTCAACAAAGCACAAGATAATGTTGCGTAAAAGTATACTGAAAGGAAAAAGAAACGCAGGGTAGCATAACATTCGAAAACTTTTTGACCGCATGACCGAAAATTACGAAAATTGGTCAGATGAGAAATTTAGTTACTATGCACCAAAATCATTGTTCAGAATTACTCAACCGTAAAATGCATGACGTCATGTAGGGAAAACGGTAAAAAGCCCAAAACACGTGCAATTTGATGACGACGAGTGTGTCAAAAAATTTTGTTGCACCATTTGATGCACCTGAGGTATACACATTGTTTTTCAATATTTAAAGACGATATGAATTCCTTGCAATCTTAGTACAGTTTACGGAAGTTCAGTGGGGTCTGATCTTCGAATTGCCCAATTATTGAAAAAGGCAACAATGGGTAACTAAGCAGTTTCTTGTAAATTTTTCCCCATAAAACTTGTTACCCGTTGTCAGAGAGGGCCTGGAATGGTTTTCAATCAACCGTGACGATGACGTTAACGCGAAACAGAGCCATGTTACGAGCGGGTTATTCGTCCTGCCACCTCTTAAATCGCAATCCTACTACCACAAAAACCGCCTTTTATACAGTAGACTATTCTAGTCATTACATTCACACAAAAAATTAAAGAAAACAATTCTGCGATTTGGTTTTTTGAGCAAGTCAACTTCCTGTTGTGTTCCTCTCACTCGCGCATGCGCGCGTTGCATGACTAAATTTTTGGCGTGGTTACCGATGCCCAATATAGCCAGTGTTTAAAAGATAATTACTCTGATGAATTCCATGCAAAGGAGAAATAACGCTCATGACAGATGTGCAGGAGAGACATTGAAGATAATGAGTGTTTTCGATTTTCACTTTTGGGGGGTATCGTCATATGAGCTTCAATAGCTCAATAATTATTCGACAAAATTAGATGAAATTTTTGTTATATCCTTTTGAAAGATGATTTTAAAAATTAGAATAGAATACTAAAAAAAAATTGAAAGAAAAATAAATTTAATTCACCTAAAAAGTTTACCCTGCGTTTCTTTTTCCTTTCAGTATATTAACAGAATTTTTTTTAAGCATAGTTATGGTGATTTTGAAATAATGTGTCGCCATATTCTTAGATGAAATAATTTTATTTCAACAAAGCATGAGATATTATTGAAAGTTTTAACAGTAATCATATTTAATTTTGGTTCTAGGTAATCATGCTGAAAATTATGTTACAATTTTTTAACAGTACACGAAATTAAATCATCAAAGTATTTATTTAAGAAGACTACGATTTTTTTCTTCTGAATTTTCGCGGATATCTTATTTTCTATAGAGCACCAATAAATGATAACACTTAAGTTTTAGCATAATTCATATTTCATTTGTCAACTCTCAATCATTTAAAAAAGAGGCCGATAAGTATAAGATTAGGTAAAATTACATTTAACAAGTGTTTAATTGTTTAATGTGTCGTAATCAACACATGCTCACACATACTAAAGGTCATAAACCGACCCCCAATTTTTAACAAAGAAAATAATCAAAGCAATTAACAGGACAGTAAATAAACATTGCTCTAACTGTAAAAAAATTGCTTTGGAGTCGATAGACAATTAATTGCCCGGAGGGGTGTTGATAGGTAATTATCATTTGAACAGCACACGTGTGTCACAACATTGGCTTCCTTTCATTGGGACGTATGGAGGGGTGTTTATGTTGCAGCAGATTTTCATTGAGTTATTTAAGACCTAAAATAAATTTTTGTTTTATTGTATTTCATTAAAAATGACTTATTACTAATTGTCTGGCAGATAAGGTGCATGTGCACTATCATTACGGAAGCACGTGACATAGGCATGAGTGAACGTCTAAAAATAACATCGGTAATGGCGGCCTACACGGAGACGATCAACATGCAGCTCAAATTACTTTTAACTTGCTTTTTCATGTTATTTTAGTATCAAAAGATTATGAGAGTGACATTTGTAACAAGCATACCTTCCAACAATAACTTTCCGAAGTTTAAAATATGGTGATAAACAAAAGAAATTGCATATGTCTAGGTAATACTACGGTATGTACGTATGATAGCCGTGTTTCACCTGAAAGAAAAACTTATCAAAATCCCATTGTGATGTACAATACGCATCCCTTTCTCACAGAAATTTATTTTAGGAAAAAAGTGCGTATTGTATTCCCCCAAATACGGTACAAAAATTATCTTCAATAACTAAGGTTTTATTATGAATTGAATTTTATATACGAATGCTAAAAGGAAATAAAGTCTGTTCAACATATCAATTTTTTTTATTATCTTGAGAAGTTTGTTATAAAAGATGTAAATTTTATTATATTTAACCTCAACGGGACTCAAAATCGGTTCGCTATATACGTAAATTTGTTATATCAAAGTTCGTTATAACTGTAAAATTTTACAAAGAGTTGTTACGAATTTTGCCGGGGATCCAGAAAAACTTCGCTATATCCTTGAATTCGCTGTATCCGTGTTCGTACTAAACGAGTTTTACTGTACAGAGCATTCTTGGGTGAAGGGGAGTTAAAATTGTTAAAATGAAGGACCAGACCTTTTACAAGGGAGGTAATCAAGAGAAGATAAAAAAAGGTTGGGGTCATTATGTAAAATATCTTCTTCTTAAGGACCACCGGGCCAGAAAAGCTGGAAGTATCCTGGGGTAGTGTAGTTTCTAAATTGCTAAAATCATGACCTTCAGGGGTAGGGTAGGGCCGCAATAGGGAAATTAAGTTTTCATGAAATTATATAGGAAATTTTCTTTGAAAATCTCCTCAAGAACCACTGGACCAGAAAAGTGGAAGCATCCTGGGGTAGTGGAGATTTTAAACTGTTCAAATCATTGCCCCAGGATGTCTGACAGGGCCACTGTATTCGAATGCAATTTTTACATTGAAATATCTAGGAAAAAATATTTTAAAATATTCCTCTCAAGAACTACTGGATCAGAAGAGCTGAAACTTATGTAGGAACATCCTGGGACAGTGTAGATTTTAAATTATTCAAATCATGACCCCTAGGGGTAGTGTGGGACCACAATAGGTATTACAAATTTGAAAATCAGGTTATGAACAGCAGAGCCAAAGTTACTAAGTTGAGTGATGTGACCCATGGGCCTCTCATTTAAAGATTGCCCAAACATAAAAAGAATTATCTGCAGTTATAGTCATAAGTTAATTTGTAAAACATGGGCCGAGATATACATTTTGCCAATAAAATTAAGGTACATTTATTCTTATATAATAATTACAGAAAGAAAACAATATAAATTATGAAGTCTCGAGGTGCTAATTTAATTATACGTTGAGCTTTTATTACTGGGAGTATGTGCAGTAGGACACAGACAAATAAGAGTTGTTATCGTAAAGGCCGTGTCACTATGTCACGATTTTTGCCACAATAACCCACTAAATACTGTAACTAATACGTTTTTTTCTTGAACTGATTTTACCTATTCTGAAATGTATGGAAAAATTTGGGCAAAGGGAAACAAAAACTGTAACTTTAATTACTTCTTTCTGTCTTGGAACCTGAGGTACTGTGGACCATGTCCTGACACATTAATGATCATAGTATTCAGAAAATAGATAATTATTTTTCATGGCTTGAACTTGCAGTCAATCTGTATATGTTTAATGAACCCCCTCTATCTAAGCCGTGAACTTCTTGAGTTATGTTTCAAGCCTTAGAGTACATGTTTGTCCAAGTGAATTAGAGATAGAAAATGGATTAATTTTTAGTCAAAAGCCTGGGTTTTGTCATGTTGAAAAAGGTGAGACAAAAGCAAATTTTCTCCCCCCCCCCCCCCCCCCCCCAATTCTTCTCTGGATTCTTGTGTGACCGCCAAGTCAGTAATTCAACATTTTTTGTTTACAGGAGGAGTATTTGACCTCATGTTACTGGAGGACTAGTCAACAACCAGCTGACATGGGAGACAAATTTGACCCCTCCCGACCTTACTATGAGATGTACAAGGTGGATTTTGAGCAGTTCAAAACCATGTACCTATCTCTCTCTCCTTGGGCCTCAGGACAAAGAGCAGGCCACTTAGCTCTCAGGACATTTAAGGTATCTAACTAATTGCTAGAGCTTCCATAAATTTGATCTGATACCATAACTTTGGTCTGTTGCCATCCTCTTGCAGTATCTTATGGTTCTTTCATGGAGAACTTTCTATCCTTTTTTTTAGTTTCTGGATGATAATAAAGACAACATGATAAACTTCAGGGAGTTTGTTTACGTGCTTGGTGTCATATGTAAAGGGGACATAACTCAGAAGCTGAAGCTGCTCTATCTCCTTCATCAGTTACCTCCCCATGAATTGGAGAGCATGCCTACTTCACCCCCAGTGTCTCCAGCTAGTACAAAGACAGGTAACCAATCAGTGCACATGTAACAAACTTCATGGGGCAAAAAACTACCAAATGAATTGTACTTAAGGCCAAAAAAAAATAATCAATAGTTTCTCAGGCACCGCCGCATCAGTTCAAAAACGGCCGCATTGATCAATTTTATTGACATATTGAAAAGGGAAATAACTCAATTTTCTATTTTTCAAAGTTGAAAAAGTAAATCGAGTTATTCCCCTTTTCATAATTGCTAGGATAGACGTTTATATATAAGAAAAACAATATATTTCCTATAAATTTACAGTATTTTTTAAATTAAATTTTAAATAAATGATTGGAATAACATTAATAAAAGTTGAATACATATTATAACTAATTTCAGAGACAAAAATTAATAATTAGTATGAATTATCATTTTTATGAACAAATGGCTTAAAAAGGTGAAAAACCTGCTTCAAAAAAAAAAAAAGGCCTGCCTGCTGCATTGAATTTTGAATTCTTTGGCCTGAGAAACTATTGATTAATTTTTTTTGACCTAAAACTATTTCTGAAATATCATGAGCAGTAAAGTTACAAAGTGTTGTTTATGTCAAAAAGGTACTGTAGATCACTTAATTTTTGCGACACCTTATTTTCGCGAGATAGTCATTGACTCCTTATTAGCGAGACAAAATTTTCACGAATTGTGGTCATTGCTCTAAATAATCTTAAGGAATTCTATAATACGCGAGAATGAAATTTTTGCATTCTGTCTGGCGTAATTACGCGAAAATAAAGTTCTCGGGAATAAAAAGTAATGTACAGTAATTATTTTATTTTCTTTGAATTAAATTAAGTAATCACTGTTGTATTTTTTGATTTCATGATGTGATCAATCGATTGGCTTGCCTGATAATTTGCATAAACGCCGAAGGGGCTTATGCATAAATTATCATTTAAGCCAATCAATTGATCATCGTCATGAAATTGAAAAATCTGAAGTTATTCCTTATCTTTACATGGTATTGATTCTGCCAATCCACATTCTAGAAGCCCCACTTCTTGTCTCTGTTCCGCCCTGCACGTGATTTTTTTTTTTAACTGTGCCTATAGATGAACCAGTACATAGATGGAGAAATAAAGTACATTAACTATTTGTAATTATTTCTCAAACAAAGACATTGGAAATGTAAATATTATGATGTCAACTATGAAGTGTTGTAGCATTCAATAGTATAAATGTTTTAGATAAAGGTATCGAAATCCCTTTCTGAAAAATATTTACTGAAACATTATTTTATATGTAGCTCATTTGTCATGATTTGTTATTTGTTTAATATAATATCATGAAATGCAGAATTAGAGTTTATAAAATCTTTACGCAATAATTTAAAAATAATTTCAACTGTAGGTAATTAGTGATGCCGCACATAATTTTAAAAAAATAAATTAGTTAAAACACATGACACCAACTATGTACTGTACAAAAGTTATGTAAGAAATGGTTACAATGTTTCTGCTATCCCTGGAGAATTCCCCTTAATAAGTGTAAACCTTACTGCAGATCAAGTTTCGTGAATGTTTTTTTTTTTACATTTAAAATTAAATTGAGATTGTGATGATGTATTATAGAGAGTCCAGAGAATGCCATGGAGGCTACAGATTTCTTTGACAGTGATACCAGCTCAATGGATGCCCTACAAGATGGTCAGTATTAAAAAGAGACATATAGCAATCATCACAGGAATAATTATTGATCATCCATCCTTCAGGACCTCAATATCATTTCTATAGTTTTAGTATGGAATAATTCAGTGTTTTGAATTCAATATGATGATTTAGGTACTTCCTAAGTACAACAAAACTCGGTTATAGCGAAGTCCTAGGGACCTGTGAATTTAATTTGCTATATCCTTAATTCGTTATAACCGTAACGAATTCGTAAAACCAAATAGAGCGAATTCGCAATATGCAGGTTTTCCTTCAAGTATTACTATCAAGTATGTTAGGGAAGCAAATATTCCAAAACATACCTTCAATAACTAAGGTTTTATTGTGAATTGAATTTTATATACAATTCCATGAACAAAAATAAGTCAGTTCAATTTATTAAATTTTGAGATCTTTGAAAGTTCGTTATAAAAGATGTAAATTTCATTATATTCAACTTCAATGAGACCCAAAATCAGTTCGCTATATCTGTAAATTCGTTATATCAGAGTTCGTTATAACCGTAAAATTTTACAAAGATTTGTTAAGAATTTTGCCGGGGACCCAGAAAAACTTCGCTATATCCGTGAATTCACTATATTGTTCGTACTAAACAAGTTTTACTGTACAATTTTCACATGGCCCAGAGAGCATTTGGTGAATATTGAACTATCATTGTAGCTTAATTATTGTATCCCCCAAAGAAACTTTGTTTTAATTATGTTTATTTAAGGAATCACTCTTTAGTTTGTTGGGTATGTCAGGGCATTAACTCATAATAACTGAGAATTTGTCTAGATAAGTTTGTTGGGTATGCCAATTTTAAGGCATCAACTATAGTTGGTAATCTTTCTAGTTTGTTGGGAATGCCAGGGTATCAACTATAGTTGATGATTTGCATAACGGGCATGTTATGCATAAGTAATCCCATGTTTCCAACTACCGTTGATGTTGCTGGCATATATACTAGACAGTAATTCCTTATACATGTATTTCCATTTCATTGTGATATAAGATTTTAAAGTTAGATTATACATGTAAAATGTTGTCTAATAGATTTAAATTAGACAGACACACAAGATTTACATGCAAATTATTCCTTAGCTCATGACCTTTCACCTGGCGAAATTTACACTCCTGTTTAATGACTTTTAAAGAAATCAACTCCCCTAACTTTCAAAGAGTTATCACAGAGAAAAATAATGGAAATTGTATGCAATATGGTACGTTGTTGTCACATTTTCTGAAATGAATATGTAAAAAAAAAACTGAAACATGTATCACACATCAGACTTAGGGTAGGCAAAATTGAGTCATCTAAGTGGAGTAAAACATGATTGTATATTTGAGTCTACTTTAAAGTTTCATAAGTTTTCATTTGGAATAATACCTTTACGTTTTTTTTTTTGGTTTTTTTTTCTGCTACAGAAATAACTCTACCTGGGGATCCTATTACAGAAGAAAAAGATGAGGAAAAGAAGGAAGAATTAGAATCAGAAGCCAGTGCAGAAGACCAACCCCAGTCTGAGGCTGCTAGTCAGGAAAAGGACAGCAATAAGACAGACACACAGGGAGCAGAGAGTGGTGGATCCAAGATTGTGGGGAGTGGGCCCTCAGGTGATGAGGGATTGGATATTATACAGAAGTCTGTAGAGGGAGGCACAGCCCAGAAAGGTAATGGTCAATTAAAAAGTAGAAGCATATAACAAAGAAAATTAATTACTGGTAAAGTGTTATCATGAAAATACATGGTCTTCATTAGGGTTTGATTTTATTGAATTGCAGCCTACAAATTAGACTGTGAAATCATCATTTTTTTTTGGGGGGGGGGGGGTGGTAAATGTTTGTGGATTTTGTGGTTATCATCCACAAATTTATAATTCCACGAACAATTATTTTGTCAATATATTTATTCTTTGAATATTAGGTACCCATGAAATTTAATTGAATAACATGGTAATCAAGTTCGATTTTGCCGTACAATTTTCCTATTTTTAATATTTTTCATTTATATTCTTGCTTACTTATGAAAAATATACTCATAGAGATTACTTTGAACATTCAAATAATCATAAAAACATATGAATAAGTGAATTTTAATACCTTTATATATTTAAGGAATCACTGTCTTGTTAGTGTAGTATGCCAGGGCATCAACAATAATGGGAAACATGGGATACTTTGCATAACGGGTGAGCCCGTTATGCATAAATTATCCCATGTTTCCAACTATCGTTGATGTCCCTGGCATACTATACTAAGTAGACAGTGATTCCTTATATTTCCATTTCATTGTTAAATGAAATTGTAGATTTAGACTTTAAAAATGTAGACTAATTGATTTAAATTACACGAGGACTCCCATGCCAATTTCAACAGTCCTCACCCACTGACGTCAAACACAAAGGCAGCCGCATGAGATTTACATGCATATGTGGCCTCCTTAGCATCAGACACAGAGACAGATGCGCACAAGATTTGCATGCGTATTAGGCCTCCTTAGCTCCTGACCTATCGACCTGCCTAATTTACATTCCAGCAGAATTATCAAGAGATAAAATCCCCTAACTTTCAAAGAGTTATCACAGAGAAAAAAATTAGAAATGGAAATATTATATAATCACTGTGAATGCACTGACACAGTCCTAACTAAACAGACTTGGCTGTCATTACATCACAATGGTTAAAAACACGCTTCTTATATTATGACGTCACATTCTACGTAACTTCAGTGCAACTGAACGCTGTGTCGTTTGATATGATTTTCCGCCGATGCGCTTTCGTGTCGATATCACAAAAGGAGGAATATCACTTGACGTCCTTTCAGCCAATGAAAATTATGAAAATAATCTTCTTATTTAATATTAAATATTATTATCGAGCTTCAGAACATTGACACATGCATGCACAAAATATTGTGTATCATATTATTGTAGAATTAATATGGCATGTTGGTTTATCTTATTATCAATTTGTTAACAGGCTTTTACACATGAGTCATAACACGTATCTTAATTTTTAGTTTATAAATACGTAATTCTTGAATTTTGGTTCAGGTACAGTATAGCATATTTTTTCTTCAAATTTATCCAAATATTTTGTTTAATCATATCAAAATAATGCTTGGAATGAGAAGGTTATAAAGAAATATACACTAGCAGTTCTTGATTAGAATTTTTTTTTCATCAATGATAAAATAATAAAATTCCATTCTTTTTCAAGAACGAAAAAAAGCTTACAATCCATCAGTTATAGCTGTTCAGTATCAGGTCTTTTTAATTTAAACATTTTGTTTGCGTCTGTATTGGAAAGCAGGGGAATTTCCTCTTTTATCAGTGTCAATCTGTTGTGCAAACTGAGCAATTTGATAAGGTTAAAATAAATAATGTTTCGTAACATCACATGTACATGCACACCATCTAACAATGAAAAGTTTGAGGGAAACGTGTCTGCTTTACTGTCTGGATAAATAATGAAATACAGATTCATGAAATAACTCCATTTTATACTTATTTGTTTGAAAGAATGATATTTCTCTGAGTGTCCAGTGAGAAATTTAAATTGACTAAGTAATGAAGGAATCCATATATGTTAACCTCCAGTTTGATGACCATTGGGAGATATATGTAACTCTTGCTAAAATTGTTTGCTTTGAAACCTGTCTGTATTCATTCTTTTGAGCACAGATTTCTTTGGAAACCTTAATCCAAATGAAAAAAAGCTGCAACAAAGTCAAACAAATAAAATCACCAAGATGGAAAGAAAAATAAAAGAATTAGGTTAAGATTATGCAAAAGAACTGAATTTGTAGTAAGAAAGCAAGATTATTTATAAAAAATTCAGAAACAAAAATTGCTTAATTAGGAAGCCCTATATTATGGTCTATTTCCTTATGAAACATTTTTCATAATGGTTTCTGTATTTTATTGTTTTCTTTTTAGAAGCAGAGCTTCAAGAGAATTTAAAGAAGGTATATGCAAAGAAAAAGGAACTTAACAGAAGTGACAGTAAAGCGGAGTTCAAGGATGTACCCAGAATGTCTCAGGTGAGTCTGTAAGACTGTAATCTAGGTCAGATTAATTAACTAATGTAAATCTGTGCTTTAGGTCAAGGTTAATTAACTAATGTAAATCTGTGCTCTAGGTCAAGGTTAATTAACTAATGTAAATCTGTTCTCTAGGTCAAGGCTAATTACCTAATGTTATTTGTGCTCTGGGTCAGGGCTATTTAACAAGTAAATCTGGACATTAAGTCAATGCTCATTACCTTCTTAAATTGAGTTGCTAGGTCAAGGCTAACTACTTACATAAATTTAGGCGCTAGGTCAAGGCAAATCACATGAACCTAATGTAAATTTGGGCTCTATGTGAAAGTTTTCAATCTACTGTCTATCTGTTTAAGGTCAAGGTTGTCCCCCATTGTTTGTCTGCATGTCATGCCAAAGTTTTCAACCTATTGTCATTCTGTAAAACAGTTCAAGGTTTAGATTCTACATGAAGTTTCTTTGCACTAGGTAAAGGCTGGCAACCCATTGTTAGTTTATTCAGCCATTCAAGGTTGACAGCCCATGTCAGTCTGTAGATCAGGTCAAGGCTAACTACCCTAGTCAGGGTTGTCAACCCTATGTCAGTTTAATCATCATGTCAAGGTTGTCAACCCAGTTTCAGTTTATTTATCAGGTCAAGGTCAACCTATTGTCAGTTTAATTATTAGGTCAAGGTTGTCAACCCAATGTCAATTTGCAGACTGTGCACTAGATCAGGGTTTTCAATCAAATATATATTTTCATACCAGTTAGACCAATTAATTTATGCATGTCTGTGCCTGTATGAAGGTTGTACACCTGTACACCCAATGTAAGTATGTAAACTAGCTCAAGAAATACAACCCAATGTCATTTTATATTTTGTAGTGACCTTGCAAGGACATTATTAAAGCATCAGTTTGTTCACATGTTTAGTGCTCAAGGATATAAGTTTTTCATAATCAACAGGATGAAAGCTAACAATATAAAGTTTTAACATATTATTCTCACTGTGGTTGAAGGCCCCTTCGATCTTTCAATGCATTTGTACATGTATGATTAATCTTTGTTTCTCATTTTGAAACTTCTTGTTGACAGCATAGACCTGCTATAGGTCTATGTTGACAGCCATTATAATTTGAGATTAAGTGAAAACTGTTAATTAATAGAAATTACATTAAAATATGCAGTTAATGATACATGTATAACAATTTTGTTTGTTCTTTTCAGGCTCAGTTTATCGACTTGTGGAGAACACTTTATGACCTTTTTTCGGATAATGATCAGGAACAACAACTTTATCATTCCATTGCATCTGTTGGGACGTTGTTATTAGAAATGGGAGAAGTTGGTAAAAGATTCTACCTCCAGAAGTCAGTTTCAGAGAGCAGTACAGGAGAGACCAGCTCCACGGGACTAGAGGGTCTGACAGAGGAAGTAGAGAAGCTCAAAATGGACCAATCACAGAGCTTGTCTGATGAGAGCAAGGAACCTGTAAAGGAGGAGACATGTTCGACTCAAATGGACAGCACAAAACCTGAAGAGGGATCCTCACCATACACCAGAAACTCATATTCTAAACCTGACTCTGATTGGTCAATTAGTTTTGAGCAGATGGTTGCATCTTTGCTAACAGAACAGCCATTAGTCACCTTTTTTGAGAAACAAGTGGATGTATCTGAGGCTGTGTCAAAAATGAGAAACCGTAGGCTCATAACAAGACAATCTAGTCACTTTCCAGAAAAGAAAAAATAATATGTATACACAAAATTTTACATGTATACACAAAATTTTAGGGTAGAGCATTCTTACATTGGGTCAGGTAAATGTAGACATTGCCTCAATCTATTTTACATCAGGCAATGTAAATTTACCAGCCATTAGTCACCTTTTTTGAGAAACAAGTGGATGTATCTGAGGCTGTGTCAAAAATGAGAAACCGTAGGCTCATAACAAGACAATCTAGTCACTTTCCAGAAAAGAAAAAATAATATGTATACACAAAATTTTACATGTATACACAAAATTTTAGGGTAGAGCATTCTTACATTGGGGTCAGGTAAATGTAGACATTGCCTCAATCTATTTTACATCAGGCAATGTAAATTTACCAGGTTAATTAAAAATATTTAAAATTAAGTAATTTTAATTAATTAATAATTTTAGGGGTACTGATCTGTGTTTTCCATTGCATGCATGCAATTTTACTGCTATATCGCCTTAAGATGTACACTGAATGTGCAATAAACATTTGTATATGTGGGCATTTAAAATGTCATTGAAATTTCAAATGGCAATAGAAACCACTGATAGTTTAAATAGATGATGGTGTTTAATTATCTTATATCATGATATCAAAATATTATTGAATGATGGTTAACATGTGAAGCTTTAGGTTATTGTTCCTTATTTTTTGTTCCCAATTATTTTCAAAAAGTAGAACATGTTTTATTAAGGAGATTTTGTGTTTGATAGGATATTGAGTTTGGATATATATCTAAACTTTACTTTGACTTTAGTTAAGGAAGAGACATAAATGTGATTATGAAGAGTGCTTTACAAGTAAGAATAAAACTTAATAAGGTTTTAATGAATGTTTTTATGATACTTTCTACACCTTAAGTAAAATACACAAAAAATCGCCCTAAGCACAATAGAGAAAACCATGTCTAAAGAAACTCTTGTTCCTTATTCAGAGGTTGCAGTAATCTTTTGCAGGGGAAAACAAGTTAGCTTCAGCTTGAAAATGTTTTGTGTTTTGTACCACTCAGATGTTTGCTTCAAACTTGTGGGATTTGTTTTTGGAAATTGTATATATATTTGCTAGATGAATGAAACTACTTTGTTCTTCTTACATATTTTTTCACCATTTGATTTATACTTTTAAAGTTTCATTACTAGATAAACATTTTCATGACTCAATCAGACATAACTGGCTCAACAAGATGTATACATTTTTTTAGACTGCCTGTACATATAAATGCACTCATGGTTTTTCTTGAGATTTTGCAGTATACTTGCTCTCTTACAGTGTGACTGACAGTCACTGAAGTATTTTATGTGTCCAAGTAGACTTCATTCTTCCACCAAAACAAATGAGTTTATTCTCTCCATTTGTTGGTTGTCTTAAGCCTTTTGCTTCATGCAATTTTCATTCAATATAAAATACTTATTTTCAAAATATTGATATTTGTCTATATGGCTATTCTCAATATACCATATGGCAGTGGTTAATGCATTGTTTTGTCTGTGAAAATTTTATTAGAATTATCTGTACATGGACATGTATCTATGAATGTTTTAAATGTTTTGGGGATGAATAATGTACATGCACATGCAAAATTTATAAGTGATAAGTAAAAACCTATTGTGCAATATTAGTGGGTGTAAAACATCACAAAATAAATCAAAGTTTATCGAGTTTGGTTTTATCTCTTTTGTGTATATAATCAAATTTCATGCTTTATTCTTACAAATGAACATTTTTTAATTCGCAATTCATTTTAATTAATGAGACTTCTTCATATTCAACTTGAAGAGTTGGCTATTTTCGTATTTTTTATGAAGAATTCTGCCTGCGATGTCTTATTGGACCTCCAATATGCCCAAGGATCACAGCAGGTCCATGGACCTCAAAGCTCACCTGAGTTTTTTCTTTGGATTTCCAAAATGAGTTTTATATTCCCATGAAAAATACAGAACCTATATTAGAACCTCTAACTCTTAGGGTCTCTGAATCTATACAACTTTGGGATGCTTCAATATTAATATGATCAGTTTCACCTCTCAGTTTTAATTAACGAGGCCGAATCTAATTCGAGTACGTATGACTTTGCGCAGTTTTTTTTATTTTCATGCAGTCATAAGTGTGACAGTACACCTTTCCCAAATATTGTGATTTTAATGTAAAATTAACATTATTTGTACCGCATACCGGTCTGAAAATGTGATTTTACGACAATAATTAGTTTAAAAAAAAAAAAAAAACCCCGCTGAAATGGCGCTAACGACGTCACTGTTTTCCGATTTTGTAAGCAATGCACGACACTGAAGAATCATGACTCGCGTATATGTTCGTAGTCGTCCGTGGATATTGTACTAAAAACTTATAACAGAACATCAAAGGACGCTTTATAATCCGCGAAGCTGATTATAAAAAAGCGTAAACTAACCCAAACCATATTATACTCGATAATCTGGCCAAGAATTAGAGTCATTTCTTATAATTTAATTTTAAAATAATTAAACAACTGGGGATGTAAAATTGTGTTGTTTTTATTAGTTCAAATTTACCGCGCAATAATACCACCGTAGTAACGGAAGTGATGGGAAGCAAGGGGAGGTAAAAACTGATACATAGATCTAGCAGCCATGATGCTTGTTTACATGAAGTAAGATCGAGCAACTGTTTGAAGTTAAAGGTACATTCATTAAATCTGGAATTTTTCATGAATCCGAAGGACTGGAAATGAGGGGATTGATGGATACAGATGATTCAGCTGGTTGTCAAGGGTGTGTGTCCCCATACCAAACCAGATTATACAAAATGTTATGCGTTCCTTTTTGGAAATCAACCAATGAGAGACAAGAATACAAACAGAATTAAATTATAAAACAATAAATATAACAGTAAAAATTAATTAACGGAAACTTATCAAAATCCTTAGGGTACAAATAATTAGACTCGGTCTCGTTAAGGCAATTCTTTTTTTCCTTTTAAGGTACCGGGTAAATAAATTTGATCCTGGTTTAGCCTTCTCTTACCAATGGCACGTAAATTTTAAAAAAAAAATCAATATGAGAATGTTTGCACATATGTGCCACAACTGTTTTCCCCGAGAAAATTTTCAAAATTTATTTTCTATGAAGTCCTGTGTAAAACTTTGATCACCTATTGTGGTGCCACCCTACCCCCAGGGGATCCATGTGGACCCAATTTGTACAATTTAGAATCTATATATCTCACAAGTGTTAACGTTCCTTTTTGTTTCCATACATGTACAAGTAATCAAGGCTTTGAAGTTCTTGAGAGAATTTTGAAAGATTTTTTCCTATATATTCCTATATAAAAATGTGATCTCCCATTGTGTCTCGCCTTGTTTGGTTTTGAACAAACTTAATTAAATATATTCTACCTAAGGATACTTCCATAAAAATATCTCTTTTCATGGCTTGCTCTTTTTGAGAGGAAGATTTTTTAAAGATGACCCGCAGGGGTAGGGAATTGCCAGAATGGGTGATCTAGGTTTTATATGGGAATGTATTGGATTTAAATCGTTAAAGTCTGTGCTCTTCTAAATAAGCACAGCCTTGATTAATATTTATTCGGAAGCATTCTCAAGTAGTGTAGATTGAAATCCTGACCTCTGGGTATAAGAGGGGCCTGCAACTGGAAATCCAATTTTTACATAAGAAAAAAATCTTCCCAAGAACACCATAGCCAAATTTGAACAAGAGAATATGAATCATGATTAGTAACTAATATATGGAAACATTGTTGGTGTAGATTTAATTGTGAACAAACCATGCCTTCATTCTTCTATATGTGTGAAGGAGAGATAGAGGCTATAGTGTATGAGTTTAGGGAGTATGCAGGAGATATTTGCAAACATGCACCTATGTATGTGCATGTTTTTGATTTTGTCACTACTTAACTGATTTCTGCTTCTTCCAATCTGGTGTGCTCAGGTGAGAAATGTGGCCCCTGGAGTTTTTCTAAAAGAAACTACTCATTTTTACTTATTCTTAATTTTCTCTCATTGAAATGTCATGTTGTAAATTTTGTATTTACTGCCACACAGTTGTCATGTTGTAAATTTTGTATTTACTGCCACCCGGTAAATTCAAAATTTACAACATGACAGAAAGAGGGCGTGGCCCCCTCGTTTAAATAGAGACTTGAATGAGATGAGATCAGATACCAAGGAGGCCAGTCACACTAGCTCTTGATTAAGTATGTTCATGTAGACGGACCATTCTGTTGTCAAAGTTTTTGGTATAAAGGCAAAAGCTTAACAAATGGTCTGATACAAGAAACAAGTCAGCCAAAAACACGACCAAATGACAAGGTATTATAAATTCTAACAAGGTCATAGAACTTCTAAAATGCTTTAACAAAATTGTTGAAATCCCAAGAACGTTAGCTTATAATTATCTCTCAGAAACCTGCCTCCATTTTAAAATGATACTCGAAGCACACTCGGAGCATACTCTTGCGTATCGAATGATGTATTAGAATTTCCATGGGTACCAATTGCGTCCCGTTGTAAGTAGACCTATTTTTTTGTATTCATATGAAGCAGATTTTATCCAAAATCGTATACGTATAAAGATGAAAACACTTGCTGTGGCCTTCAACTCGACTTTTAGATACCGATGACGTATTATTAATTAACAATGGTTATTTCCATTCTTGTGTCGATACGATATATCCCGGTGAGCTTGAAGTAAAAGATACTACAGAGTCTGACATATCTATTTATCTAATGTTCGTTTTCTCCATATGTTTCATCTACAGTTTGTTCTTTGTGACAGTTACGATTTTTAGTGAAAAATAAGGACCGTGAGGGGCTTAGTGGAGCATTTGCTGGACATGTCGAAGTATATTTGCTTGTAAGGCAAGCAACATATTTATAAAGTAAGGGAACCCAGTGCAGGTATAGGGTAGATCAAATTTATCTTGATTGAATGAAAAATTAAAACTGTAACATTGAAATGTGATTTAAGAAATACTTATAAAGGATACACCAACAGCTTTTTTCAAGATTTTAAACAGTTCTGAGATTTTTAGCTATGAAAAAACAGTTAGTCCTGTAAAATTCTTGCTAATTTTGAATAAGTTTTCAAATTCTTTGACACTATAATGAAATATAAATATTACCACATATGAATATCCCGTTATTGAAGCTTCTGACTTGATCTTTGCCTGCTCATGAACGTTGCAATAAATCACCATGACCATTTGGGGAAAAATTAACAAAGAGGTTATCATTAATCAAATAACTGGTAGAAGGATAAAACGTACGCTCAAATAGGACCATACCCGAGGTCCTAGTTGAGCGTACGTTTTATCCTTCGGCAAATAACAAGGACTATAGATTTAGGGAAGGAAATTTATCAGATCACGGGTGACCATAAAATTGGACGAGGGTCTTGCTCTTGCCATTTTTCTGGTAAATCTTTCAGATTCAGAATTGAACCTGCTTTACTGTTTAATTATAAGATTCTAAATTAAGATAAGAACCTCCCATTCTTTTAAATATTCATAGGGAATATAGATAAGTGACAGATGTCCAAAGCTAAGTCTACAAAGTAGATTTATCATTTATTTTGAGTTTTGACAGGTTTCATTGTATCGTTTTGCCCTAAACCTGAAAGTACGATCAGACAATTGCTGGTATTATTTCAAGGATTAAGCTCCCTTCTTTACCATTATCTCTGAAATTTGGCTAGGTTGCCTCTCAAATGTGTGTTCACAAAACAGTTTCTCAGGTTTTGTGATATCTTGTGTCGATTGGAATTTGGACAAATTTTTGGTCGCAGTTTTCTTAGCAACTTCTCATCGCAATGCTTGAAAGATAAGCACATATGCATTCTTCGCTGAGATATGCCATACAGTGGGTTCATTTTTGTTCAAAATCCATGTCAACTTCCTGTTTATCCGTGAGTCTGTCTGTACCATTCATAACAAATTTTCGTCGCAGGGAAATAATTAATTAGGCGAATAAAATGTAAACCTTGAAGTACAAGTACGGTATGTTTTGATTATACGATTTAATAAATAATTTGAGAAGCAATTTTTAAGAGATATCTTTAATCTACCTTGAAGCAAAATAACCACCTTGAGGAGTGGAATTTATTTTTTATTTTTTTCTAAAAATAAGTACCGGTAATCAAATGAAGTTAAAATTTAAATCATTAAATAGTAAATTTAACGAACTTTCAAAGATATATAATTTTATTACAACAAAATTTTTCAAACTTTCAAAGATATACCTGTATTCTTTTATTAAGCTATCTTTGATAGAAAGAATTACATGTCCCACCCCTGAATATGACGAACAGTATTCATGCTCAAAAGTCCATTAAATAGAAGCAGAGCAAACACGGAACTACAAAACATCAGATGTTTGATCAGGTGCCATGGAGGAGTGAGCATCTCCTTCTTACCATTCTCCTTGTCATGATCGGGAAATAACGGGAAAATCCGTCGACAATTCAGTAAATGTATGTATATAATGGCCTAACAATTTAATATGAAAAACATTTCAACATTTGGCTTTATGATACACTGTAATTGCTGAGAAGGTCATTGCATCGACCATGGACATATAAAATGATGACTTTAAGGTTTCGTCAAAGGTCAACATGTCCAAAAATTATTTTTACAATAGCCCCAAAACTATGTGAGGTATTAATTTAAAACTTTTACAGTTTATAAATTTTTCATTGATTAACAGATAGAAAGTATCACTTGATAAAAAAAATACTTGGAAAAAATATTAATTGAGAAAAATTCTTCTTAAAAATCCATATATTTTCAAAAAATACACCTAATTAATTCCGCGCTCTTAGTGAAAACCATTATTGCAGAAACAAAAGATGTTTATCAATGAAAGGAAAGTTGGACTTGGATAGCCTCTGGAAAGTTGTTTTCCCTGTTTATTTTGTCCAAATGTTAAGACTTGAAAGTGAAAGTACACTGCAAGTGGCGGATTCTATAGGGGTCTTGTCTTTATACATGTCATGCTTTCAATAATAGCTTTTCAGAGACCATTCACGTCCAACTAGCCCTTCAATGATAAACATATATTATTTCTGCAATGATGGTTTTCACAAAAAAGACAGAATTAAGCAGGTGCATTTTTCTTTAAATATGCACATTTTCTGATACAATTTTTCTCAAAAAATATCTTTTTAAAAATATTTATTATCAAGTGAAACTTTATCTCTATTAATTAATGATATATTTTTTAAAATGTAAACGTTTTGACTTTATACCACACATAGTTTTGAAGCTATTGTAAAAATAATCTTTTAGATATGTTGACCTTTGACGAAACCTTAAACGAAACTCTTGATATTTTTGGTTTATCAACTTCTCGTCAATAATAACCAATATTTAGAAATTGTTCATACGTAGAGTTTGCTCTCTTAATTTTTGTGTATCGCATCAACTGAGAGATATAAACCCCGTATGTTGGTGATGAAAGTATATTATGGAAGTTGACGCTTGAAACATTAAAGCATATTGCCATTTGAATCTAAATTTAAACAAATCTATAATAGATTTTTTAGATTATTTTACTATTTTATGTTTATTTTACAGCACAGGGCATTTTATTTATTCTTTCGATAATTCTATACGTTAAAATATAAAAAAAGAAGTATAATTAAATTGTAATCAATAATTGGTTAATATTTAATGAAATATGCAGTTTAATGTGGGAAGTTAAAACATATTATGACAGGTCAGTTTTTTTAACGATGTATTGTAAACTCTGGTAAATGGAATATTTGCGTCATTATTATCACGGAAGCTTTCATAATTGCCATTTAATTATGACAGACAAAACAAGGAAGAAACAAATTAAATGAAGATTTGTCTGCCGGTGGTGTTTGAAAGTTGAGGAGCCACCGTGTGGTGAAGGTCGACAACACTCTGATATCTTCGACGATGCTTCTATTTAAAATTTAATTAAGTGTTTTGAAATAGGAAGAAACAAGCTATGCTTTGTAAGAAGATTCGGGGAAAAGGTGAAGATTACGAACACTGATCGATCTAATACGTCATTAAGTTTTTTATCTTCGCAAGGCAAGTGGTTTGGATATGTTTCGCTCTTCGGATGATAAACCATTGACAGACTACGGAAATTGTGGTTGATATGTTGTTTCTTCAAAGTTTGAATCAATGAGAAGACAGTTTTAATGTCGTATTACTCCTTTGACAACCAATAATCAAACACAAATTTTTGCTACGTCATGTTCTTGTACCACAGGAGTCTGAAGTTTTTGTCGTAAAAAAAAAATTAAAAAAAAAAAAAAAATCCGGAAAAAAATTTTCCTACCCTTAACTAAAAAAAATTTTCCTACCCTTAACTAAAAAAACCCCAGGATGGCAACGAGTTTTGAGGGGACCCAGCTAAACAAATACATCTGGGTTTGCTCAAATTAATTTCTCGACTAATTCAGTATCCGGAGTGTTTGTACTATTTATTCAAGTTAAAAAATCCAATCTGCCTGAGAGTACGGGCCGTCCATGGCCTTTTTTCCACCTTGTCAGCTCATCCTGGACTCCATGCCACTAAACCGGAAGTGACTCCCGCAGAGAATATTTGACGTCAAATTTCTTTTTTCAAACATGATTAAATAAATAATTGTACAACAAAATTTGATTCAGTTATTTTGTTTATATTTAAGAGAACTTTAAAAAGTTATCAATTGTTTTTTTTACGTAAATGACGATATGCATCAGGGGCAGATAATTCTGTTTTTACAAGGCGCCAAATTTAAATCAGTCAAGAAGATGTCAAAACAGCTGGACTTAGCGACCTGGTAATGCATTATTTTGTTTGAAAAATACGTATTTTTTAATTGATCATAAATGGTTACATAATATTGTACCTGAAGTTTTCTCCACGAATGATGGAAATTCTTTTATGATCCAGAAATAAAAAAAAATATTTTATATTTTAATTTTCACCCATTCAAATATGAGCCCGGATTTTACATTAATTATTTTAATTCTGTTCTATATATAGTTCTTGAATATTCCTAGCAGTTTATGTGAACTTAAAGGGGTTTGCATATTAAAACATTTTCAATTATTAAATTATAAATTAAGCTACAGCCAATTATTTATTTAAATAACCTTCCTGCAGGGGAATCAGTGCTATAGGATATGTCTGTGTTCATTTAATTATTTCCATGCATTTACACTGTCACAAGTTATAACTGTAAATTGCAGCTTTACTTGAATTAATCATCATATATTGACCAATTCAAAATAAATATTTGCCACACACTTCCAATGTTCAGATCTAGAGGGGGAGGATTTAGGAGTTCAGACCCCAGCCCCATGGAATTTAAAAAAATTATTATATATACACAACTAAAATTTGACCTTAGACCCCCCCCCCCCCCATCCTCCACACAATGCAGACAGTCATGTTCATTAGGTTGGTAGGAAGAACTTATATAAATGAAACATAATTAAAAGTGAAGGCAGGCCGTCTCCCTTCCCCACAGTTCAGAAAGGACTTGACCTCTCTCTATGGATTTTCGAAAAACTGGGGGTTAGATTTCTTGGGAAACTAGTGTCCTCCCCCCCCCCCTCCCCCAACTCCCCATGGGAAAAAATCATGGAACTACACCTTCCTCCTCAGTATGACAAGGAGAAAAAAACAACAGAACAAAAGACTGATGAAAAGAAAAGTCTATACCATGATGTTTACTTTTGTATGGGGGTTCCAGAGCCTGTAATAATTAGCATCATGAAAACTCACTTCACATTTTCATTCTTTTTTTATTAGCATCATGTTATGTAAACTCACCTTTTCATCCTTCTATTAGTAGCAACAAGTTCATAAACTTATCATTTTTTGGTCTATATGAGCAGCATGTATATTATAAAAATTAACATTAATTTTTCTTTTTATTATAAATATCATATACTGGTACTAAAACAAAACATTTTCATTTTTCTTAACTCACTTCACATTTTTATTTCTCTTTTAGCATCATGTAAAAAAAAATTAGCATCGTAGATTAAACTCACTTCACATTTCTATTTCTCTTATAGCATCAGGTACAAAGTAATTTCACATCTTCATCACTCTATTAGTAGCTTCGTCCATAAACTTAACATTTTTTTTGTCTACACATGTATGAGCAGCATATTCTAAAAATTAACATTAAAATTCTTTATATACTGTTACTTAAACATAACATTTTCATTTCTCTATTAGTATCATAGACTACACTCACTTTACATTGCTATCTCTCTTTTAGCATCATTAAATAAACAAAATATCCTTGGGTAAAGAGGATTCAATTTTGTTCAAATGAAGGGCCTCACCTTCTTCCAGGGAGATAAAATCACAAATAAGATCATCTTTAAAAAAATTTTTTGCTTGCCCTCTCCCGATTCAGGGTAAATCATTGAGTCAGTAGGTAGATGGGAAAATTTTTTAAAAATAAATTTCATAAGATAAGAGAAATAAAAGAAAAAATGATTTGTGTACTGGAATGTAGAAAAAGGTTTTGAGTCTGACCTTGTTTAGTCAGTCGGTCGGGAGAGGGCAACCAAACAATTTTTTAACTGTCATTCTCTGACTTGTTACCCCTTTTCTGTTTTTTGGGCTCACATACTCTCTCACCAAGGGCAGTGATTTTGCTGCGTAAGGCCTGCCTTTTCTTTCTGGGTACCATTGATTTAAAATATTTTAATGCATCTACAAATGCAATTCTAATAAAATGCTCTGTTAAATCTTTAAAAATTTCCATAACCAAAACAAGGAATATTTCATCCTCTAAATCTTGATCTTCAAAATCCCCAAACAATTTGACCCACTGCTGAAGAATATCTTCATCTGAATCAACAACATTTCTACAGTATAAAAATATGTCTTCACCATGCAGATGAAATTTTGCATTAGATAAATTGCACTGAATTAAAGTGTTTAAAGCCATAAAAAATTCAAACATTTCATTACAAACAATTGTTAAGCCTTTTGAGACTCCCTGTTTGTGTAATATCTCAACCATACTTTGATCACAACATGAAGCTTCATCTTTTATTCGGAAAAACTGCAACATACGTTGTTTCTTGAAATTCAGCTTACGAGCGATCTTGCTTTTCTTGGTGGTTTTGCCAATATTCCTTTCTACTGAACATTTCACTTTATTGGTAACTTTATGTAGACACACTCCTGCAATATATCTGATTTTGGCTTCACCAGCTGGAGTATGGGTTGCTGCATGAACTTCTTCTGATACATTTTGTCCATGTGTATCAATCAATTCATTTGCTTTCTGTTCGATCAGCTTGTCCATTAGCCAAAATACTAGTTTAGAAGAGAGTTTGTTCTGTAATGCTGAAATGTCTTTAGTCCTAAAAAGTTGTTCACAGGCACGCATATGGGAATCACTGGTAATAAACTTGTTTAGCTCTCGGTACGCAGAGTTCCAGTTTGGGGTTGTGCTCACATTTAAAGGCTTTTTCGTGATATTACTGATTTTGAAATACAAATATTGAGCATGTTGTTTCAATTCATTTGATAGCATAAATTCAGGGTTCAGACATGTTATAAAGGTATGGCCTTCATTTTCCTTAAAAAAGTCATCCAAGGTCCATGGAATTGTAAGCTGAGGAAAGTCCTGCAATTCGTCCTCATTTTCTTCTTCTGTCTCCGATCCTGAGTCAAAGCTTCCTGAATGTCCAGGACTAAGGCTGCTACAAAAAAATGTTACATCTACATATTTTCTGCAGCAGGATAAGTCATCCAAAGGTTCAATGAATGTATCCTTGCTATAAAAGTCATACACACATTGACGATGCTTCAACGAAGCTGCATGTAAATTGAAATTTTCTACTCGTAACCCATCGACATTAGTACATCTTCCTATGGCCACACCAAGTTGTCCTGGAGCAAAAAAAGAATGACAGTCCACGTCTACATATTGTAATGTTTGTCCTTGGGCTCTATGCACCGTTAATGCATAAGCCAAAATAAGCGGATATTGGGTGCGTCTAGCAAGTATTTTCGATTGTTCCTGTGAGTACACTTCAAAGTTATATAAAGGAACTTCAATTAATTTTCCATTGAAGTTGACCACTGGAGGACAGTCTTTCTTTAAGGTGTGCACTTTTCCTCTGGATCCATTATACAAACTCCCTACCAAATTCCTTGTCAACATTACTGGAGCCTCTTCCTTTAAGATGAGAGTATTAGGTACATTTAGTTGATGTAAAAGATGCCTTGGACCTAAAGAAAATTGAAATAGCAAAATTACTCATCAGTGCTTGAAACTTAATGTACAATTAACTAGACAAGCAGGGCTGATGCTAGCGAAAGTTGTCAGCCCTTCCAAATATGTATTAGCCCGAAAAAGAAATAATTGTCTCTTATAAGTTCATTTAAATTGTAATGTGAATGGGGCCAGCTCATTCTACATTCAATCGTGGACCTATCGGCTGATGAATTCTACCCTTTTGATTGGTACACTTTGCAACCAGTAATATTAGTTGATTTGAGAGAGTTTTATCAAATATCTTAATTTTAATTTATGGAAAAATTTTACACATCTTGCCATGCGTTTAACATACATGCAGATCTGTTCACCCGCGACAAAATTTGTGCGTCTCGGGCGGTTGGGTGCCTGATTATTTCAAACACTATTACTCATGCATTTCAAAATAATGAAATAAACTCTCAAACTTAATTCACTTCATAAAATGATACAGCACATATTAAAATATATTTTGTACAATCATTGTGTGTATTTCTTTTAATGCTTTAATAGTACTGTAGGAAGTGGAAATTAATGTTAGTACACTTAAAATATTTTAATTTTAGAGCTTCAAAATATGAACGGAAATCATTTTTGGCACAAGCCAAATGGGGCTTTGTATTATAGCACGATTTTAAGAACTTCTTTAAAGGAGACCCACACACAACCAAAAACAAGAGGCCCATGGGCCACATCGCTCACCTGAGAAGCTTTGACCATTCTGTTCTTTACCAGATTTCACCCTTGTTATACATAATGCATCCCCACCCTACCCCACTGATCATAATTTAAACATTTTGAAATCTACACTACCCCATGATCCTTCCATGGGCACATATGTTTCAGCTTTTTTGGCCCAGTGGTTCCTGAGAAGAAGATTTTCAAAAATTTTTCCTATATATTTCTATGTAAAACTTTGATTCCCTATAATGGCCCCGCCCTTCCCCCGGGGGTCATGATTCCTACAATTCAGAATTTACACTACCCCAGAATGCTTCCAAATAAGCTTCACTTTTTCTGGCCCAGTGGTTCTTGAGAAGAAAATTTTCAAAGATTTTTCCTATATAATTCTATATAAAACTTTGATTCCCCATTTTGGCCCCGCCCTTCCCCCGGGGGTCATGATTTGAACAATTTAGAATCTACACTACCCCAAGATGCTTCCACATAAGTTTCAGCTTTACTGGCCCAGTGGTTCTTGAGAAGAAGATTTTTTAATGACCCCACCCTATTTTTGTCCATCTCCCCTTGCGAGGGGATATGTCCCTTCATTTTAATAATTTAAATTCCCCTTTACCCAAGGATGCTTTGTACCAAGTTTGGTCAAAATTGGCCCAGTGGTTCTTGAGAAGAAGTCGAAAATGTGAAAAGTTTACAGACGGATGGACGGACAGACGGACGGACGGACGACGGACAAAATGTGATCAGAAAAGCTCACTTGAGCCTTCGGCTCAGGTGAGCTAAAAATGTGACATTCCTTTTAAAGATTTATCTTGTTTTAATTCATACCAAATCTCTGTCTCAACTTTCTCTTTAAAAAATCCATCATTTTCTTTCTTTATTAATTCATCAGAACAAATTCTGCTAGTCCCATTGGTTTGTGCTGACCTAATTTTAATAGCCCAACCGAATGTTAACTAGTTTTCAGGCATCAGGCTAAAGGGGTCATAAAACTGAGACAAGCTCACTTTAGATCCAAGTACTAGTCTCACTTTTCTGAGACTGAGATCAACAAGAGGACCATGGCCCACATCGCTCCCATGAGTAACTTAAACCAGGCTGTTGAGTGTTCATTACCAGATTCCTTTGTAATACCTATTGTGACCCCCTTCCCCGAGGGTCATGATTTGGACAATTTAGAATCTATACTACTCCAGGATGCTTCTATATAAATTTCAGCTTTTTTGGCCCAGTGGTTCTTGAGAAGATTTTTTGAATGACTCCACTCTATTTTGTCTTTTTTTGATTATCTCGCCTTGGAAGGGGACTTGGCCCTTCAATTCAACAATTTAAACTTCCCTTCACCAAAGGATGTTTTGTACAAAGTTTTGTTAAAATTGGCCCAGTGGTTCTTGAGAAGAACTTAAAACTGTGAAAAGTTTACAGACGGGTGGATAGACAGACAGATGGATGGACAATGGGTGATCAGAAAAGCTCAGGTGAGCTAAAAATGAACTTATCTCAATTTTATGGCCCCAAGCCAGACTTTTCCTTTTTTTTGCACATTGTACATGTTTTGAGTTTACCTTCATTTTTAGCCTTGTATGTGAAGATTGGACCATTTTCATCCTCTATACATTCATGGTTGATATAATTGATTTCAAAATTCGTTCCATACAGCCTAGTAATCTCTACATTTTCAGGAAGAGGTCTGTCTAAACTGCGCAGGAGTTGAACAGTGTCCTCAGAAGGTGTTCCGTTACAAAGTTCAGTTACTGCCCTCACTAGCTCTGGCTCATTTTGTCGCTTTACCTTAAAAAAGTAAAATGCATGCTTTTTGAAAGTGAGATTAAAGCATATTCCAGTAAATGGTGACACAATATGTCCAAAACTAACATACATTTACTTTTAAAAAGCTAATGCTGTCTACATACACATATAGATATTGGGAAATAGTCCTGGTCATGGGAAAAATTATAATTAACTTTGAGGGAGTTAGCAAAATACCTGTTCCCAAAGGCTGTTGGCAAGGACTTTTTTCCAAGGTGCTGCAAAGGGATATAGTCCTGATTTAGGTGAACTGGAATCTTGCTCTCCCAATGATATACATTTTTTATAACTGTTTTATTATACCCATACAAGTGAAGAAATAGAGGAAATCGGATAACTGGGAAATAGCTTAATACAGAGCAAGGATTAGCTCACTTGAGTAATTCATGAGGATTTGTCCATTCTCAGCAATTTCTATGGAATTATTCAAACTTAACAATACATATGTATTTGAAGAGCTTTAATTTACAATTATCAAAAAAATTCTTACCTCTGTCAAATTAATGTGATGCTGGAAGGTCTTCTGAAAGACATTGCTCTCTATACAATATGACCCATCATCTCCATATCTATAATTTGGAACTGGGGGCAACTGTTTAAAGTCACCGCATCCAATAACCTGTGAATTATATCATTCATATTTTTTTTGAAAAAGCAAACATAATACATGTACCAGTAAAACTTACAGAAAACATAATTATTTCCACAATTCTTACATTAATAGCTTTAAAGGTCTTTATTTTTTAATTAATTTAATTAACTAAGATACAACACATAGAGATTATATACATTTACCTGTAAACCTCCAAACACCATTTCTTTCTTTAAAAGCAGTCTGCAAACATATTCAATTTGTTCAATAATTTTCTTTGACAGCATGCTGATTTCATCAATTATCAATATCTCTGTACTCTGTATTCTCTCTCTTGCTGCAGCAAACTTATCATCATTTAAAAACAACTCCTCCAACTCTTCACAAGAATATCGTCCATCTAGGATTCCTGCCCAGTGGTGCAATGTCGTCGCCCCATATCCTAGCTGCATACTTGCCATCCCAGTGGTAGCTGTGACTGACACCTGTCTTTTTAAATTACTTGAAATATCCTTGATAAGTGTCCTGTAATGAATTGAAATAAATGTAATGATACTTGTCATATCAGACCCTCTGGGGCTAGTATTAAAAAAGGACATATTTTATAATTAGAGCTGCTTTAAAAAGTTTCAAAGATAAACTACAGACAGACAGAAAAGTAGACGTCCATTAACCCCCATCCCCCCAACCCATCCCCAAAAACCTCTTAAATTTCACCTGTGCGGGGTGGTGTGTGTGGCAAAAATAACAATAACTGTTTTACTAAGTAAAGCTTAATAATAAATTTAATTTGATTTTATTTAGGCTGTGTGTTAACTATTCAAGTGCTGATGAAGGGTTAGTAAGGTTGGAATCCATTGTGGATAGATGTGTGTCATTTTTTGAATCAAAAGCCCTCTCCATACCAAACAAAGATGCAATAGCTAAGTTGATACAGCCATTGTTTGGTGCCATTCCATGTCGTATCTTTGAAAATAAGAAAAAAATTGTGGCATACAAGAAAATACAGCTAAGATCTGAGTCCAATGACAGTGGTAGTATTACATTACCAAGTATTTGTGTACTTGCAGACATAAGTAACAATATATTGAAATTTGATATGCCTTTGACAGTAGCTTTGAATGGGCAAATTCAACAGTGCAGTATCTTCTTTAACAATAGCAGAGCAAATATGAAAATCAGAAATGTGTCCTTTACAATTGGCTTTGATTTGTTTCCTACTCAAAAAAATGTGGATGGCATCATTCATCTTGTAACAGTAATTAAACTTTGCAATGGAATTGAAAGCTTGGAGAATGAAGATGAATCATCAGCTGCATTTATGTTTGCCAATTTTTCTGTGCTTCATGATGAAAATCAATTTGAAAAAAGAACATGGAGTAAATCATGTAAAGTCATTTTGAATTGGACAGTGAAAAACACCTATTGTGAAGTGTGCTTTGACTCTGTAATGAAAAACAGAAAAAGAAAAAATGTAACTTCAGAAAACATAACAGTAAAAAAAGCAAATACACAGAATCCTACAAGGATAATCCAGAGAGTTTACAACAAAATTCTGTTGGAAAGGCCTCATCTGGAGATTTACAGGTTAATGACTTAAACAGAATGGAAAGAACTGAAAAATTGATTATTCCAACTGATATTGAATTGAATTCTGAAGATCATGAAGATATGCATTTTATTCTGAACAAGGTCATTGAAAATGGTGCACCCAAAAAATTTCAAGTTCTTTTAGAATCACAGCTACAAAACTGTAAGAGAGGGCTAGATAAACATCACAGGAGGTGGAATCCAGAGGTGATTAGTATATGTCTGAATTTATATATTAGATCCCCCAAAGGCTATCAAGACCTTAAGAACTCTGAGATTCTTGTACTACCATCACAGAGACTTCTGAGATATTACAAAAATTCCATAAAACAAAGTACTGGTTTCAATAGTGAAAACATAAATTGGATGAAAAAGGAGGCAGTAAGACAAAATGTGTCTTCCTTTGGGATGAATGGAGGAGTAATAATAGATGAAATGTCTATTCAGGATGATTTAGTTATCCAAAAAAAAGGAGACTCTTGGAATTTAGTTGGATTTGTGGACATGGACACTACAAACAACAATATTGCTATCATCAGTCAAGGAGAGAGAAAGGGTGAACTGGCAACTCATGCCCTGCAGTTAGTTTTCCACGGACTTACTGGATTTCGGTATGTAAATGAGTTCCAACAATTACTCACTGAAAGAAGAAATTGATAATTTACCTTGAATTAATATCTGTTAAACATTACATCTGAAATTGAAACAATAAATACAGGTACTGATTCAAAATCAAAGTTTATTGGTATAATCCTATTTGTGGTTTTGTTTTAACAGATGGCCCGTTGCTTATTTTGGCTCAAGAACAGCCACTGCCCACCAGCTATATAATGTATTTTGGAAGTGTGTAGATGTTCTGAATGAAAACGGATTTACAGTGGATTATGTCATGGCGGATGGAGCTTCCACCAACAGGTCTTTCCTTAACATGATGTTTGATACCAACCCAAGGGAAAAGCTGTTTCAATTCCCTGATGTGTATGACATTAAACACTCTATCTGTGCCATTCAAGATATAATGCATGTCCTAAAGAGAATCAGAAATAATGTAGAATCGAGTAAACTGGAACATAAGGAAAAGAAGGGTAGACTGTTGGTTTTCAATGACTCCTATATTGTTTGGGACTATTGGGTGGAATGTTTTAAATTTAATATCCAAAATGGATTTGCGATTCATGCTAAACTTTCCCCAGAACATATAAATCTTACAGCTGCTTCAAAAATGAGAAATTCCCTTGCATTAGAGGTGCTGAACAGAGACATGCTCTTCCTCATGAAAAGCTATCAGTCAACCCTGCAGGATCCTGAAAAACTAGCCTCGGCAGTTGAAATGTTAGAGCATACATCTGTCCTTGTAGATGTTTTCTGCAACTGTCATCAACCTTTCCTTTCTCTTGGTGATTTCAGATTTAAATCTCTGCAGAAGTCTTTGGACTTTTTCAATCAGTGGGAAAATGAAATTGAACAGTCAGTGTTGTACAAAACAGAAAAGAACTTGATAACACAGGAAACAAGAGATGATTTAAATTCGACAATAAGCGGGTTTATGTCACTATGTAAACTAAGACTGGGGAAAGGGAACAGTATTAACCCAGGATTTATAAACTCTGATATAGTTGAAAATCTATTTGGTCAGCACAGAGGCATACGAAACGGTTTAAATGACAACCCAACTCTGTCCCAGTATGGTCCATCTACAACAGCAATAATCCTTGGACAATGTAGTGTGTCTAACAAGTGTAACTCTGGCAAAACAGCTTCATTTTATTCAGCATCTACTCCTTGTGCACTAAACATGGCCAGGAACAAGGTTAACAAGAAGGAAAAAAGGCCTCTTCGTATGTGATGTCACTGTTCATTTTAAAAAAATGTAAATAAAGGTTTGAGAATTTGTCATTGTTTTATAAAATAGTATCCATATTTCCTTTCAAGAGTGACTGAATTATTTCTCCATAATTAAAAATCAGAAATTTAGGAGTGCCCGACCTAAAGAAAATATTCTTTCCTTATCATATTTATCAATTTAATTCATAATGATAATTTTGTTGCCAGTTACTGTTATTCGTATTATCATTACATCCATTTATGTTTTATTCTTACTTAAAGATCATTGACAATAAAAATATTTCAATGTGCAGCTACATAAATATTTGATGATTAAATGTTTATCTATTTATAAGTACAAAAAATTTCATGTTTATAAAATATTAAGCCAAGATTCCAATTACTCCCTGACATCCCCGCTGACTCACTTACTCAAATTGGTTCACGTGTCAAAATGAGAGTTAGAGGAATTTCGGATTAAAATAGTATATACATGACATCTTCTTAGTTTGGTGCTCAGAATTGCAAAGAAACGTAACCGCACTCAAATATAAATTTGTACCTTAAAATATGCGTTTTCCCAGTCCCGCATTGGCCTGTAATAATGACATTATGTCCAGACAGAACCAGCATCTTCACTTTCTCGATCTCCGAGTCAGACATGTTGGCGCTAAAATTGGGTTATCTTTTCCTGATTCACTGCGGTAGTCACTTCCGGTTTAGTGGCATGGAGTCCAGGATGAGCTGCCAAGGTGGAAAAAAGGCCATCTATTGTGAAGATTGGATTTTTTAACTTGAATAAATAGTACAAACACTCCGGATACTGAATTAGTCGAGAAATTAATTTGAGCAAACCCAGATGTATTTGTTTAGCTGGGTCCCCTCAAAACTCGTTGCCATCCTGGGGTTTTTTTAGTTAAGGGTAGGAAAATTTTTTTCCGGATTTTTTTTTTTTTTTAATTTTTTTTTTACGACAAAAACTTCAGACTCCTGTGCTTGTACGGACGTATACATTATATTCTCGCCTCAAATCAATTTTCGTCCGTTGATAAATATAATATGTTGACGTAGCGACCGCGCAGATACTTATTCAGTTTTTATTAGGTCACCTGAGTAAACTCAGGTGACCTATTGCTATCTGTTTTCGTCCGTCGTCGTTCGTCGTGCGTCGTTCGTCGTGCGTTAACATTTGAACATTTTCAGCTTCTTCTCTGCAACCACTGAACCAATTTCAACCAAATTTGGCACAAAGCATCTATGGGTGAAGGGGAACAAAAATTGTGAATTTCATGATCCCTGCCCCCCCCAGGGGCCTGAGGGGTGGGGCCAAAACCACTAAAATTAATGCAATCTTTAAAAATCTTCTTCTTTACTCCTGGACATCAAGCAGTCAAACTGTTTGCATGATTGTAATCAGCAATGGGTCCTCTACCAAAATTGTGAAATTCATGGCCCTGGGGTCAGGGGTTCTAGTGCTAGGGCGGGGCTAAATAAGTAGGTAGTGAAAATGCATTATTTCTTTGAAAATCTTCTTCTCTGCTCCTGGGTATTAAATAAACCAACTAAGTACATAGTTATGATGAGCAAGAGTGCCTCTACCAAAATTGTGAATTTTATGGCCCCAGGGTCAGGGGTTCTGGTGTTAGGGTGGGGCTCTATTGATTATAAATAGTGAAAATACATGAATTCTTTGAAAATCTTCTTCTCTGCTCCTAGGTATTAAATAAACTAACTAAGTACATAGTTATGATGAGCAAGAGTGCCTCTACCAAATTTGTGAATTTTATGGCCCCAGGGTCAATGGTTCTAGTGTTGGGGTGGGGCTCTATTGATTATATAGTGAAAATACATGAATTCTTTGAAAATCTTCTTCTCTGCTCCTAGGTATTAAATAAACTAACTAAGTACATAGTTATGATGAGCAAGAGTGCCTCAACCAAAATTGTGAATTTTATGGCCCCAGGGTCAAGGATTCTGGTGTTGGGGGGAGGGGGGGTTCTATTGATTATAAATAGTGAAAATACATGAATTCTTTGAAAATCTTCTCCTCTACTCCTAGGAATTAAATAAACTAACTAAGTACATAGTTATGATGAGCAAGAATAT